AGTAGAGAGATGGATGATTGAATATGAGGTTTCAGAGTTAAAACAGATGTGAGATTGTAAACAGAGCCACATTTTTCAACTAGAATTAGAAGTATTTCAGCGTTCATGTCTTGGGTCCACATGGATGACACACTGTCAGGGAGACTTGTCACTGCACAGTGGTGAAGAGGGTGTGTTTAGGGGCCAGACATGCTTAGCCTAGATGTTAGTTCCACACCTGACCTTGTGGAGCTCAGGGGAAGCCAACCTCTGAAGTTATTTTTCTCCTTTATAACTGGTGATAACCACAGTTTCTACTTCCCAAGGTTTTGATAGGGATTCATGAAATCATGCATAGTAAGTGTTTAATACAGTCTATGATATAGAATATTTGAAAAATATTAACTTTATTATCATTGTTATTGATGATAATGCTGTCACCTCTAAAACACATTCTTAATATTTTTAAGAATGTCTTCTAAATACTTTCTATATTGTTCTTTTGAATCATGGTAACATCCTCAGGACTTGTACTGATTAAATGAAGAGAAATATTCTGATTAGGTAGAGCTCTTACCAAATTAAATAAGACTATCTATAGCCTAGGCAGTCTAGAAAAATAATGTGCAAGAAAAAATAAAACAAAATCTTTTTCTTGTATGGAAAGTTATCCAGGCAATTGCAATTTGCAATTCCATCATTTTGCAATATTTTCTGATGATTTGTAGAAATAAAATATAGAGAAAACATTCATAGAACTACCCTGAGGAGTTTGTCTTTCAAGATCAAATTGCAAGTAAACTGGTGGGAGTGGAAAGACAAGTTTCTGGTACATGCCTCACTGCCAGTCATGAGCTCTGCTGTGTTCATTCCAACTACAGTGGAAATCATCATAATCTAATGGACAAGTGAACTGTAATGCTTAATCAAAAAATTTTTGATCATTCACTCATTTAGTGCATTTCATACTGTAAGCACTTGCCAGCATTACAATTGCTTAGAGAACTTCATCTAATGAAAGAGAAAGAATACCCTCGTTAAAATAGATACACAATGGACTATTACTCAGCCTTAAAGAATGAAATTGTGGCATTTTCGGGCAAATGGATGGAGCTGGAGAATATCATGTTAAGCGAAATAAGCTGATCCCAAAAAATCAAAGGCCAAATGTTTTCTGTGATAGGCAGATGCTTATTCACAAAATTGAGGTACATTGGATTAGGCAGAGGGAAATGAATGAGGGGAGGGAATATTCGGGTAGGAAGGATAGTAGAATGAATCAGACATTATTACCCTATGCACATATATGATTACACAACCGGTGTGATTCTACAACATGTACAACCAGAAGAAGGGGAAGTTATGGAATGTATGACGTGTCAAAATGCATTCTACCACCATCTATAAATAATTGAACAACAACAAAAAAAAGGGTGTAAAACAGACTTTCCTATATGCAAAAGAATGTCAACTGATGAGTTTTGCCCCTAGGTTTGCGTATTTTAATTCTTATTTAAACACTTGATTTTTTGTTGACTTCTTGTTTTTTTTTATGAATAGATTTCCACTAATAAGTCCTGCTCTCACAAAAATTTCAAGCATTCATGTAGAAACAAAAGAATGGGTAGTTATACTCCATGTACCTAAAGTATGTCAAAATACATTCTACTGTCATGTATAACTAAAAAATAACAAATAAAAATTTTTAAAAGAAGAAAAACAGGAGCTGGGGTTGTGGCTCAGTGGTGGAGTGCTTGCCTAGCATGCATAGGGCACTGGGTTCGATCCTCAGCACCACATAAATGCAAAATAAAGATATTGTGTCCTCCTATAACTAAAAAATAAATATTAAAAAAAGAAGAAGAAAAACAAACAATCAAGCGTGATTCCCAAAAGAAACTCCAATAACCACCAGCAGTTTCTATCAGCCTTACAAAACCACAATTGTTTTCTATCTTTATAGATTCACCTATTTTGGACATTTCATATAATTGGGATCATATGATGAGTGGTTGTGAAACATAGTTGACAATTTAGAAAAAAGTGAAATTTTCTAAAGAAAACTGCTGGCCTTGGGAGGACCTCCCCCTCATTTTCTGGGATCTAGACTTCACCCTAGTGCCACAGAAATGCACTCCCAATCACCGAGAAAAATCCAGCTTCTATGGAGGAAGTATGGAACTGAGCAAAGATAAAATGTCAACACTTCATTTCAGCTGTTTTCAGCTCTGTGGACCTCAGCAAGAGGGGCTTAAATAAAAATTTACCAACAAACATCCTCCTCTCGTTTGCTCTTTGCTGGACTCTTGTGGATTACCCTGTCCTCATCATTGTAGCAGGCTTTTCCAACAACTGAAGTCACTGAACATGAGATTTGGGAAATTTAAGAAGATAATTAATCCAGTTGCTTGTGTTGACAACTAACTTTAAAATCCAGAGGAATGCAGATAATCTCTACTCAAAATAAATTTTTGTTTGTCCAACTAATTCATCTCAGGAATTACAATGCAGTCTGGATTGAAGGCTCCAGATAGTAATCACTAAGCTTTGTGTTCCTCTGTCTTGTTTTACCCTCTGTACACATAGCTCCTCTGGGACCAGTGAAAAGGTAGCCCTGTCCATTCCCCATCACTGGATTTGTACAAAACAGAGATCAGAACTGTAGGCAATGCATAGTTATGTACCCAAACAAACAGGAAAGTGTTCCATTTCCTCTCAAGGGTACAATGAGTTGACACTTTATTGGCTAGAAAGTTGAGAAGAAATATCTCTTTTCTGCATTTCACTCAAGCATTCTGTAACTACTAAAATGTACCCAGACACATTTTCATTTCATAAAAATTTAGTACGTTTTTGCAAGAAAAATATTCATTTTAAATATTTCTTACAAAGGTAACTTTCTTACCAGATAGTGGGTTTTATTCTTATGGTAACTGATACTGAATTATGATCTAAAGAAAAATATCATATTAAATATTTTCATAAACATCTGTATGTGATGGGCAGGGTGGCATGTTCCTGTAATCCCAGTGGCTCAGGAGGCTGAGGCTGAAGGATTGTGAGTTCAAAGGCAGTCTCAGAAACTTAAGGAGGCCCTAAGCAACTTAGTGAGACCATGTCTCCAAATAAAAATATAAAAATATCTGGGTAGGGGTTGAGGATTTAGCTTAGTGGCTGAGCGCTTGCCTAGCATGTGCAAGCCCTGAGCTCAGTACTTGGCCCTGTGGGGGGGGGAAAAAAAGGCTGAAGATGTGACTCAGTAATTAAGTGCCTCTGGATACATTCCCAGTACAAATTGAGTATGGTAAATCTTTTTCTCACTCTGGTGTTTGTCTTCTTCAAGCTTTTTGTTTATTCAGTTGGCTTGCAATATATTTACACAAGAAAGGCTTTTTTCCCCCAGTTTTCCTGAAGATATGCAATAAAATATCTCATAAGTTGTTTCATCTAAGGTGATCTCTTTTTGTTGTTGTTATTTTGTACCAGGGATTGAACCCAGGGGTGCTTAACCACTGACCCACATCCCCAGCTCTTTTTATTTATTTTCTAATTTTGAGACAGGGTCTCACTAAGTTGTTGAAGCTGGTTCTGAACCCGTGATTCTCCTACCCAGCCTCCCGAGCCTCATCTAAGGTAATTTTAGCTGCCCACTAGCCACAATGTTTAGCTGCTGACCAATAATTCAGAGATAAAGGTGAGACTCAAGAGAAAAACATGATCTTTGACAATAGCCTGTCTTTGGTGCCAGTGCTGCCTTGGGACCTTGGACAAGTTGCTGGATTATTTTAAAGTACTATTTCTGTATCCAGAATATTCATTGATGAATTCATTATATCTAAGAGAAACAACATGGTAAAGCATGATTTTGGATTTATATTAGGATTTTGATAAATAGTAGGCCTTAAAATTATTTATTAAAACACCTATGAATCTATTTTAACAACATGGATAACTGTTAATGAGAACACATATGAAGTACACATCAATAAATATGAATTTTCTTTTCTTTGTTTCCTCTTCAAGGTCCCGAACATCATCAGTCCTATGACCTGCAAAACGTTTTCTGAAGTATTCTGATTTGGAGAAATATAAAAGCAATAGAAATAATATAATGTGTACCTAGAATGATACTAAATGATATAGAAAAAAACATAACTAATATATATTGAGGACACATCACATGCCTTTATTCTAATACACTGTAATTATCTCTCCTTTCCCATTTAAGGTCACAGAACCTGTCTCTCTAAAGCCTGTGATCTTAATGGTGGTACTAATACCTCTTAAACGAGATGACATCCTCAGCCAAGAACTGTGAGCGGCCCATCAGAATGTTCTCTGCACCAGACCCAGTAATGGTAGTGAAGGGGAAGAAATAGCACAGGTCTCTGTCAAACTTATCTTTCTGGTTGGGCAGTCTAATTCTGCATTAGTTGCTTGGAAATGCAAGATTTATAAAAAGTAGGCCAAGTTTTTGTTTTTTACAAATCATTTCCAAGTCATCCTTTGAAAATAATGGAAAGTGACAGTGATTTCAGGATTGAATTTCCTTCAGAACCACAAACTTTAACAGGTTAAAGAGGAAAAAAGAATCCTTTCATTTTCTTTCAATAGACCTACTAAGTATTTCTTTAGAAGAAAATAACTCATTAGAAAGAACACACTGTCCTTTTATATACCAACTTCCTCCTCTAATCATATAATCAGTTTAGTGTCCCAAAAATGATGTAAATACTATTTAATTTACTAGTCAAGTTGGCTTATGGAAATTACTACTTAGCATGATTGCCCTCAGGATAAAGAACAAACAGGTAAGGGAAAAAATCTATTTAATAATAGGTCATTTATCTTATTAAAGACACTATCATGTCTAGACTAGCAAATTATACATCTGACCAAAAGTCTAAAAATTATACCAATTATCAAAACAAAAATCAAAATAATTTCCTATGGTCTCTAAGTAGCAGACCTTCACTCTGTGGCATTTACACAAATATTAACATTAGAAACAAGTCACTTACCTGTTTCATACGCCCCTGTATTTTTGACTCCACCTCTTCAATGTGTGAGATTGTTTTGTTGACACATGGTGCTGGGATGTTTACATTAGCACAGCTCTGACGTAGACATGGGTAGTTGAAGTAGAGGCCTGTATTCACCTCTAAAGTTATAGCAGGTAGAGGAAATAGTCAGTAGTTATATACAGAGTTACACATCTTGTTGTTCCGGATATGCAAAAAAATATTATACCATATTAGTGCTAATATTCTTAAAGTTTCTCTGATAAATAGATTGAAAAGGTGTTTAAAAATTATGAATAAGTTGGTTGTGTTGGTGCATGCCTGTAATCCCAGTGGCTTGGGAGCCTGGGGAGGAGGATCACAAGTTCAAAGCCAGCCTCAGCAATTTAGTGAGACCTTGTCTTAAAATAAATAAAAAAGGGCTAGTTGTGTAGCTCAGTGGTAGAGACCCAGGAGTTCAATCCCCAGTATCACACACACACACACCAAAAAAATTATATAATAAACTTCTAAAAATGTAAAAGCTAAAATAAAATAATCATTTGGGATGATTTCATGTAACAAATAGAAATAAACCTGAAAGAAGCCTGTTATAATGTTAATGTGTTCTACTATTATGACAAAACATTGAAAAAAAATGAAAATCAGAAAACTAGTTAATCCATTTTAAATAGATCCTATGTCACTAAGACTGATGCAAATATATTTCAAATGCACCCTTCAAACAGATTCCACATCTTCCAATGTAAATAATATCTAAGTATTCATGTATTAAAGTTCTTCCTTGAATCCAGCAGGAGTTTCTCCTATTAAAAAATAAAAACAGGTCTCCTTCATCCTCATAATAACCTCATTTTCTACCTTCCATTTCTGAAAATTGGAGTCTCATGCGAAGAGTGATTGATGTTCTCACTATAGCATTCAAACTGTACTCATCATAAAATCCACTCAGTCCGATATGCCTCAGTGATTGTAATCCTGGCATGTCCCAATCAACTGAAGGTTGCAGAAGCAAGGCAAAGTTGTCCATGAAATTCCACCAAAGTGCTTACTTGCAGTCCTGGGGCTCTGAGGACTCTACTGGGCGGGATTATAGTCACAATCATTGATCTTAAAAGGGAAATGCAAAAACACATTTTGTGTCTCAATGAGAACAGTGTGATGTCCTCATTTCAGTTGACCTTGGGGGAACACAGAAGTAAGGCTATTGCCATTTTCAATGACAGCCCATAGAGGTGGTAAATATTTGCAATATCTTCACTAGCTATAGTCTTTTAGATGAAGCTTTATAGAATCCTCCTCCAAAGAAACAATCTCTATAAAATGACATGTCTATTTCATTTATAAGTAAAAGTGTTCATTCTTTCCCATGTATTTGACTGTGTATGTATGTTTCTAACACTAACATTTTTGAGCACTAAAAATAAGCACCAGCCATGAGACAAAGCTAAACACTTTCCATGCCGCATTTTGCTGACAATCTGATGAAGCAATATTATTTTCTTCTGTTCATCGATGAAGAGATCAAGAATTTAGATAAGTTACATACCTCATTCAAGTCCAAGGAGGTAGGTGGGAGAAATGAACTTGAACTACAATCTCCCTGGTTATAAAATGTAAGCTACACTATGTGGGCTATTTTATTACTTTAAATGTATGGCAAAATAGAGTCCTCAAAATGTATTTCAGGGTATGTCAAATAGTCCACATATTGATTATTTTTGAATACTTGAATGTTTCTTCATTGTATTTGTGCTAATATCCTAATATATGTTAGCTTGCTTTGATCGTAATCTGAACACATATACTTGCAATGACTATTCCATGTGTGTTCAATTCCATATTTCCTCTTTACTTCACACACACACACACACACACACACACACACACACATACATTTTGATCTCTGTGATAGACCAAAAACCAAGCTGGTAAAAATTATATTATTGGGGGTGGGGTTGTGGCTCAGAGGTAGAGCGCTCGCCTACCATGTGTGAGGCACTGGGTTCGATCCTCAGCACCATATAAAAATAAAATAAAGATATTGTGTCCACCTATAATTAAAAAATAAATATTTAAAAATTATATTATTGATTTCCTATCTAAATATGTGGCCTTCTCTCTGGAAATAAGAAGATTTCAATACACATTGAACAAGCAGGCAGTTGCTGTTACAATCAAAACATCTGTTTTCCTTCATTTGACGTAGGAGAAACAAGGTTAGTAATGATTCATTTCATATTTTTCTTGACTGTGCCACTCTTAGCCTCATTTTGTGAATACTAATTAATTTCCACACACTCCTACAGTTTAGGATTATGATTTCACGTATGGCAAAGGGGGGTATTAAATACTACGAAATTAAATTGGCAGTGAAATCTGTAAGAGACATGACATCATAAGCACCACAAGATGGAACCAGCACCCAGGAGTCTTATGGCTGTTTGTATGCCAGTGCATACTGGGTATAAGTTAAAACTTTTTATTTCTTTTTCATTTTCCAAGTTTAAGGAAACAGTATGATATAATCAAAATATCACAGAACAAGATGTCTATGATAACTTTTTTACTTGTCTGACAACTAGTTGCATATCTTTAGTTAATATTTACTCAGTCTCTAGTCCTCAGATTTCTCCATCAATAAATGAATGGGTTAGTAGGGGGTTATATGAGATCTTCTTTCACCCAAAATTCTAATACAATGAATTGATAGTTTTTGTCAAATGTCAATGGATGGAGCATGTCCTCATGCCGCCTGAATCCCAATGGTCAGAGTGGGTATTTAAAGCAGCGAACCCAGGCAGGACTCTCATCCTCTAAACAAGCCCCAGGCTCCAACTCTCTTGCTCAAAATCAATGCATAAAAGGCAAGATCCTCCTGGCTCTAAGCCAGAGCTGAGGTTTGCTGAGACTTTGCAACATGAAACTTCCATTTGAGGAAAAATAGAGACTGGTTGATTACACAGGCAAATGAAAGAGAAATATACTCTTGTTTATAAACTGTCAATTCTCCCTGCTCAGTGAATTTGATCCTTATATAATTTATTCACTCTGTCCTCATAATTTAACGTTTTATCACTACAGTCCTTTCTTACCTTCTGCTTTTAATATGTGCTTCCTTTATATCCATCACACCAATAATTCTATCAGCCTTTTATCTCATCTCAACACTCTTAGGAAAAAGTTAGCTAAACACAGATTCCTTCACATATTGTTATAGCTTTTAACATTTTGGTTTTTCTTTTCAGCCTGTAAAATAAGTCAGTGCTCTTAAGCTTAGAAGTAATTCCTCTTCTATATGAAGTCTGTTGTGATGAACTGAAAGTATTTTCAATCTTTTATGGAAAACAGATCTTTTTTGTTTTTATTACACATGGGGGTGGATAAAAAATACCTTTCACTGAATTGGAGTTATTATATTTTCAATGGACCTTGCACTGGTGAAGACACGTATTGACTCTGTAGAATAACATGCACACGTTCTCAGAGACAGAGGTGAGTAAGGACTGCCCCTACTCCAGCCTCATTCCATGTACAAATGCCCCTGTTCAGTGATCACTTGTTGCTCTCCCTCTGACTCTTCAAAGTCTTCAGCTTGAGAACATTTACTTTAGCTTCACTGGAGTAATTGCATATCATCCAACAACTTTGCCTGACCATTTCCTATGATTCTCACTGTATGTTGTATTTTGCTATGACTAGCATTCCTTTTCAAACCAGCAGTTTATACCAGCAGCCATAGTATTCTCATGTTCTGATCTCTTCTTCAAACTACAATTCTATACAAATATTAAAATCCCTCTTCTATGAATCCTTCCCTATGAAAAATTCTCAAATCTTTTAGACATGAGTGAACCTACATACTTACGGGTTTTCTCTACCAGAACTGATCCCACTGCATTTTGCTGTAGATTAGTATATCTGTCTCCCCATCTACCTTCCCATGGAGATTTACATTCTCAGAGAAAGCACATTTACTGTCTTAAAACAATTGTTGAATAAATGAATGAGTACATAAATCCCTCTATTGTATAAATCACCTTGCAATCTGGTTTCTGTTCTCTCCACTTTATAGAAACTTCATTCCTAAAAACCACTAAGTGGGATTTCCACTACCGTCCCTGAAAGAGTAACTGATATAGAACTGGTATGGCCGTTATAAACAACTCTAAATCTGGATTAGAAACATGAGACAACTATTTTAAGACATTGGAAAATAGGCAATGCAAGGCTACAATTCCCCCCCAAAAAGGGAAATCCGTGAACCTGAGTCCCACAATCACTAAGCTCTCTGCGAAGGGACAATTTCTCAACTGTGATATAGAGATTTGGGAAAAGAACGGAGCTTGCCAGCCCTGCTGGGTGGAAGAGCAATTAATTCTGTGGACAGTGGAAGCATCTGGGAATCCCCGGGGCAGGCAACTGAAGAAGGCAAAAATGCAGAGAATGCCCCCAAAATCCACGAGGAGTGCCCTCTGATGGATAATGCATAACATCTCAGAAATGATTTGGATCTGGAATGTGTAGTGAAAATTTACAACTGATGTTCAGAAAAGGAGTTGGACTCTTCACAAAAGACAATACAGAAATGAATTAAAGGCACTGGAAAAGATGATCTGTCATATTAGTCATTAGGAAAATGCAAATTTCATGAATAGTTCAATACCACTTCCAACCAGCTATAATGCCTTACAATGAACAGGGTTGGGAAGGCCAAAAATTGGTGAGAACATGGGGCAATCAGAACCCATACGTTGCTGGTAGAAGTACAGAATGGTGTGAAAACTCTTTTGGAAACAATATGGTAATTTCTTAAAGTTAAACGTGTACTGTTGTACGACTCAGTCTTCGACGTCTATGTACTTACCCATGATAAATAAAAATGTCTGTAAAAAAAGACCTGTATGTAAACGTTCATAATAGCCAAAAGTTTTTTTTTTTTAATCCCAAATTTCTACCCCAATGGATAAACAGATAAATTTTACGGTATTCATTCAAGGGAATGCTTTTGTGCAATATAAGTGAACAAACAGCTGATACATGTAACAAAGTGAATTTATTTCACAGAAGTTTTCCTGATTTTTTGAAAGAAGTTGAACACAGAAGAGTACAAATTGAATGATTCCATTTATTTAAATTTCAGAATGATAAATCTAAAACCATATTAGTGGTTGTGGTAGTGGGGTGGGGGGCGGTTAAGTAATATTGACTACCAAGGGACATGAATGAACTTTCTGGAAAGGTAGAAATTTCTACATTCTATTTGAAGTGGTCCTTAAATGGGTGTGTATGTTTGTCAAAAGTTATTGATCTGTATACTTAAGGTGAGTGGATTTTATTGTATTTAAATTTTACCTTGCTAAGTTTTTTTTTTTTGCTAAAACCATCAATAACCATACTCAAGTGACATAATCAATAGCCTTTTATCATTCTCCTCTCTCTCTCTCTCTCTTTTTAATGTTAGTTGTAGATGGACACAATACCTTTATTTATTTATTATGTGGTGCTGAGGATCGAACCCAGTACCTCACACAAGCTAGGCAACTGCTCTACCATTGAGCTACAACTCAGCTCCCTCTCCTTCTCTTTTGACATTTTTGATGAACCTATTCAAACAAAATATTTAATAATATTTACAGAATGTTCTATTAGCAAAATAAAATAAACTTTCCTTGGACCCAGAAAATACCCTTCTGACCTTCCTTTTTCTCCCAAAAGAAACATTTGTTCTCCTCCTTGTCCAGTTTGAAACCCTTTCACCTGGTCTCCATTTCTTCTCATGGCATATTAATTTCTATTTTCTATCTCTTTGAAAACATTCAATAATCTTCCTTCTTGTAAGGCTATTTCTCCTGCTTCAAACTTTTCTAGCCCTGTTTCTTTGCAGGTATTTCTTATTCTTATTTCCACAATTAGTATACTTTATGCAAATTAAAAACTGAATGTAAATTAAAATCTATTCAGTAACTACAGGCTTTTCTACATTGACGCTTTGTTTACAGTAAGAAAACTTGCTTAATGCTCAAGGAA